CCCCCCCCCCCCTTCTCCCAAATACATTTTGTGATTGCTTCGTAAAAGTAAAGAATGAGAGAATGAGGCTAAGTCGGGCGAGCCGACTGGTATTATACAGTGACGCTCAAAAGTCTTCGGCCAAATGCTCTTACGCTTTTTCGTTCATAACTTTTTTCGGAGCAAATCACACGAAATTTTGATATGTTCAACTTCTTGTTCAAGCATATTGCACACTATCCAACACTAATTGACTGCGACGCAGCTATATCCACAAAACTAGAGCAAGGTGTTTGTTGCGGTAGCAAATTTCGCTAAAAGCAAAGTTATTGACGTCTGCAGTTATTCGCACACCCTAAGTGCGTTTTTCTCGTCTATTGTGTTCAGCATTAGCGCTCGTACACTTTATACATGGCAAAAAGGAAAGAAATTCCAAAAGTACCATCATTCGTATTTCCAGCTGATTTTGAGTTCAAGCCTTTTGGGATATCTGAAATATTCAGATTGCAGGTTGATAGTAATAAACATATTCAGAATACACCCATGCTACACATATTGAAATTTTGCAAGGTAACGGCAAGTAGGAAAGGTGTTATGACCGAAAAGTACTACTGAAGAAGCATTTCGCCGAAGACTGTCGAGCGCTACTGTATAACAGAGGTAAGAGCCTAGCTTTCAAATTCTTATTACAGGACAAATTTTGCAGTTCACTCATTTATGATAAAGTGAGCGAGGTTGCATTGAGCACAAGTTGTGAATACTTGCGCTGTGGGGAATGGTTTAATTGGATGGGATTACTTAATTACATGAGCATTTAGCTTATGCCATGACATACCATAAAATACAAAGAAGAACAAGCTACTCAAACACAAAACTAGATTCATATGAGAATACATGACTAGTGATTGAAATAGAGGTAGGAGATCAAGTAAGTGAAAACAAACAGTTAAAAGCAAAGATAAGAAGAAAAAGTACAACGAAAAAAAAAACTCGTGCTGATTGTTGGATGATTATGGGTCTTTTATTGTTTACATGCTTCACGTTTTATATCGTCCGGAGAGAGCTTATCGCATATTTTTTAGGAGTAATCCATTGATCAAACAACCCGTTTCTTGCTGAAATACATATCTGCTTCTTAAGAAGAGGTCTGTTTAAAGGAATGTCCTACCCTATCGGAAATGATTACTATTACAGAGATTAGGGGTATTACATCACTCCATGCAATTCCTAGTGTGTGGTGACCGTGTGCCAAAGCATTAGAATTTACTCATCACCATTACATCTTAGCGTGTTAAAAATCGAATTCTTACACTAAATTTAGGCATTTATTATGCCCACTCCATAAAATCTGACTATGTTTATCTGAATAACCGCACAACTAATCTTCACGTCATAAACTATACTGTCCAATACGACACCCCTCGAAAGGCAAGGAGAATATGAATGGAAAGAGTAAGAGACTGCAGCAGCGTGCTGCGGTTCGGCTGATTTGAGCACGAGTATGCAGTAATACGCAATCAATGAGAGGCATGACGTGAATGCGTACGCGCGGACGGAATACGGGCGCAATGCAGCGAAAATGCGCTGAGAAAGATTCGGAATGTCGAAATGAAGGCTGCGGTTCCCAAACATCGCTGTCACTATGGAAAATTGCTATGGAAAATTACCAGGGCTAGGTCATCACTACGGAAAAAACTGGTGATGGGAGAAGCTTTACGTGATGTGGAAATGTGACGCATATCAAGGGAACGTCGTCCTATTACAAAGTCGACTACCCCATGTCTACACGACCTTCATTTCCGACGAAGCTATGCAGGCCTACTTTGCTATAAGTGGATAGAGAGTGCGGTCGAGATAAACATTTTCAAAGAGAAACGTGGTTAAATAGACATGCAACAGGTGAGAATGAACCTTCTCGGAGCCGTCAAGTACCAATTGTCGAATGATATGTCCGCGGATAACCAGATCGACTAGTTGTTCTAAACTGTCCAAGGACAGAGTATTTTCGAACGCGTTTATTTAGTGGAAGAATCTGCAGTTTGAAAAATTATCCCGCGCGTGGGCACATAATGCAATTCATTGGGGCGCGCCGGCATTGACAAGGCGGGTTTAATCGCCCCGTGAATGTGTGAATCAGTGACCCAAACACACGCTGTAG